TGGAGAATACCACCAGCTATGGAGGACTACAAATCCCAGCATTAGTACATTATAGTATAATGTTGTACTATTGCTGGCATTTGTTGTATTCCTATATAGCTGCTGGTATTCTGCATTTTGCCGTATAATCATTATACAGCGCACTGCAGAATGTCACCAGCTATAGAGGACTACAAATCCCAGCAATAATACATTATATACAGTGCAATGCAGAATAACCCCAGCAACAGAGGACTACAAATCACAGCAATAGTACATTATAGTATAATGTACTATTGCTACATTCCTCTATAGCTGCTGGTATTCTGCACTGCGCCGCTGTATAATGTACTATATTGCACACCACTCCACACCATACTTCCACCGCGCCAAGCTTGCTCCCGTGATGGACTACAATCTCAATAGAAACTAGTAGTCCATCACTGGAGCCCTTTTTTAAAAATCCGATTAGTCAATTAATCGAACTTAATAATCGGCTAACTAATCGATTATGAAAATAATCGTTAGCTGCAGCCCTATAGTCACCGCTCCAAGTTCAATCCTGTGATGGACTAAAATTCAATACAAATTAGCTAACTAATCGTGAGATTGTAGTCCATCACAGGAGCGAGCTTGGAGCAGTGGCTACTTTACAACACACACAGGGACCACGGGGAACAAAAGTAACCACCCTCCAGAAGGAAGGACAGTGTCAGCACCAATTCAGAGATGATGTGAGGAGCTACAGCCGAGTGATACACAAATAAGAGGGTTGGCAAGGTTTAGGTGTCCCTGTTTCATGGTTTGGTCTGACAGTATGCTCTGCCTTTAATGCAGAACTACAGTCTCCTACAAATGTCTTCATGTTGCAGTGCAACCCGTGCTGCAACTTTTCCAGGCATCTACTGTGCTGCAGTACATGTAATAAGCAGGTAAACTGACACACAAATCCAGCTCTATGGTTTGATGAGTTTAGTACAGAGGAACTTAAGTGCGCTGCACAGAGCCCTGACCTCAACCCTACTCAACAACCTTTGGGATGAAGTGGAATGACAATGGCGAGCCAAGTCTTACCGCCCTTCAGTACCTGACCTCACAAATGTTTTTTTTCTCTGAGTGGGAACAAAGATCAAGGGCCGATTCACACTAACACACATGCTAAGCCATGCTTAGTTTTAGCATGAGGACTAGTGTGGGGTGAGCGGTTGGGGGTTGGGTTGAGCGCTGTGATGCACTGTTGTAAAACATCGCAGTTTTATTTTCTCTATTTGGTGTCACGCCCACAAATTGGTGTCATCAGCGAGGCATAGAAAATAATTGTTTTCTATGTGCCGCAGCGGTGACTGGCATTAGCATTTTTCAGCAGCTGGGCATAGTCAGCGCAATTGGTGCAAACAAGCCCAAAATCCAAAACCTTTGGAAAGTCTTCCCTGAAGAAGAGGTTATTACAGACAGTAAAGGAGGACCAACCACCATATTAATACCCATAGTTTTGGGATGGGAAGTCCAACTCAAAAAGGTGTGCTTGACTAGTCTTAAATATTTGTCCATATAAAGCAGGGGTGGGCAAACTCCGTCCCTCCAGCTGTTGTGGAACTACAAATCCCCTGAGGCTTTGCAAGATTCTCACAGCTACAGGCAAGACTCCCAGAGACAGATGCACCATGGGATTGGAAGTTCCGCCACAGCTGGAGGGCTGGAGTTTGCCCACCTCTGATCTAGAGCATTTTGTTTTTACATCATTCTGGATACAATATGCCAAAAATAAATCAATATGCAATGCATCTTTAGTCATGTGTTCAGTAAGAACAGATGCACCATAACTTGACTATGATGAGGGGGTGAAACTGGGTTGAAGACCTATTCCGGTGGAGAGACTTTTTTTCTACACAAAACCGACTTCCTGCCTGGCAATTCTAAAAAAAAGACATTGCAATTGGCATGTGCAAATATTCTTAGTATAAGTGGTGAACAGCATAGAATCACATCACAGCAACTATAAACAGTCACAATTAGGACGGGTGGGGGCACATCTTCCAATGAAAAGCACGGTTTAGGAGTCGGAAACCTTTGTTCTACTGGCACCAATACAGGTGTCCAGCAGTCCTTTTTGATTCTGCATTTACCAGCTGAACAGGATTGGCATTGGTTGCCTTGTGCATGAAGAAACTGGCATTTCACATTCATTTGTATGTCATGGTTCCAAAGATATGGTCAACCTACTTTTGCTGAGCCAAAAATAGAGGATGTCTGCAATTCCTTGTCATCATCTTCTTTCCGGGGGTGAATGACCAGAGTCACATGACAGCTATTTTCTGTGGCAAATTTCCTGAAAGCACCAACTATGTAGTCCTGCAGTGCAAATCTGGAAGACAGGCATTAAACACGTGTTAAGACAAAGACTTTGTACATGAAACATCTGCACGGAAATTACTGGACACAACTTAAAGTGGAACTCCAGAAAAATATTTTCTTAGTTTGGACAGCGCAGAGAAAGGTTAGTTCTTTTATCAGCTTTTGTGTTGCGATTTGTGCCCTCACATGTGCTATCCTAGTGGCACCCTGGGCAGTGTTGTTAGTCGAACATACAGGGGAATGGGAACGTCAGCTGACAGCAACACCACAGATGTCGACAAGGCAGGAAGTCAGGGCAAACTAAGAAAAAAAGGGTAGAATACTTGAAAGAGAATTTAAATTTAAAGTTTAATCGCTAGACAAAAAACTTTATTATTTTTAGTTTTGAAAAAAGTGGAATAACGATCTATTTGTACTGATGACCACTGTCTGAGAGAAAAAGTGATGGGAAATGCAAAATTTTAGCATTGCAACAAGAGGTAAGAGGAAATCTTCTAATGTGTACACATGTCCCAAGAGGAGGTATTCCTACTTTGTTTGCTTACTTTATTCTTACTTTGGGAGAAGTACATTTCCCCAATGATACAGACAGCAAAATGCCTGGCAGGGGTGGTAACCCTAGTATATAAAACTAAAAAGAAAGTTTGGGCTATACATACACTAAAAAAGGCATTCAAAAGTGAAGTGCCCTTCTTTATTTTTATACAGTGAACCTAGTCTCTGCCCATGTAGGGCAAACCATAAGGTTCATTTTAACGCCTGCCCCTGGCAGCTGCTTATACTTCTCTACTTCATTCACTGTGGGAAGTGAAAGAATATACCCAGTATGTCGGTTCTGGTTGTTGGCAATGGGTAGCCCCGCAGGCATACAGCACTGTTACATTGGGGCAGAGAGAGAGAGAGAGAGAGAGAGAGAGAGAGAGAGACAGAGAGAATCCTCGGCCACGTATATGCGCCTCACTTCTGAAGGGTGAACTGAATGACTGGGTAGTGAAGGCAAGTACAATAATAGGAAAATAATAGGTTCAATTTAAACTGGCCATAGATCCAAGACCATGATTAGCTATTTGAATAACCATTAGGCCACAGCAGAGTAACTGAACAATTTGTAAAGGCTTGAATGTGTACCAGTGGACGTTTTGGAACAGACAGCATCCTAACTTGGAACCAACAATGTATGCGAGTGAGCAATATGGTCCTTTTCAGACCTTCATATGGCAGTACAAAAACTGTGATGGTGTATAGTATACCACTGAGTTTGGGAAACCCTACATTTAGCAG